GAGGGTTGGAACATCAAACAAGAGTCCCCATAAACAACTCCTGATTTAAAATAAAAGCCTATTTGGCAAAGTTAATTTGCCCAGTTTTTATTTTAACCTTTGCAGGTTAACAAACAAAATGTGTTATTTTTTGTCACAACAAGCTGATTCCCTCAGGAGAGTCCAAACTTTATGCCAAGCGGGTCAAAACTGTCGACTCTAAAGTGGCTGCAATCTGGACTCGACATTCACTGCAGATCCAAATTAAAGGGGTTTTCCTGACGATGGCCATTGTAAACAAAACAAAACAAAAAATGAGTACATTTCTGCCAAAAACCCTGAAATTTTATGATCTCAAAAAATGGTCTAGAAAACTTGGACATTTTCTAGACAAATTTTCAAAAGAAAATTTAGAAATTTCAAATTCAATAATTTCCAAGGTTTTTTTTGTTTTGTTTGTAGAAAATTTTTGATGTAAACTAAAAATGTTATGTTTTGTAGCAAATTTCACTCAACAATTTACCGCCTTCTTTTTCCTACAACGGCCCTGATACACTGAAGAGGTTTCCTCATGTTTGCTGTATTGAGACAGACGTGTAGTTTTCAGTTTCTTCTGGGCTCGACTGGATACGTTCATTTTCAGCACCAGAACAGGATTTGGGTCAAATTCGAATAAAAGCCAAGTTGGCTTTTCAGCAAAGGTCTCTGGATAAACTTTTTGTTAAAACTTGGATATAAAAACACAAATACTTTGTTTTGTACTTTACATTTTTCCTGTGTAAGAAAATCACGTTGGCAACGATATGATTACAAATTAAAAGTCTTCATCTGCATCAATGGCAAATTTGCAACACTTTTGAATTGTTGTTGGGGGCCAAATAAAATCAGTCCAACGGTCCCAAATGGCCCCCAGGCCACACTTTGGACACCCCTGGACTAGACCATCTGGACCCTTCTCATCCTCCTTACCCTCCTCTGCAGTGACAGGACGTTCACAGACCACGAGTGACCTTTGGTGAAATAACTCGAGAACAACTGGGCCACAAAACTTTGACTCCTTATCGACTGAGGGAAACCAGTCAGCATGACGGTGGAGAACTGGGAGGCCTGAGGGAGAGCTTTCTGCAGGAAGACAGTTTAACATTTAAAATACTTTAAAGGACGGCACACCAAACGCCTCTTTTCTTACATGCTGTGGGTAAAAATAAAGTTTTTGGCACAATCCTAAAATAAACTTTTAACGTCAGCGTTTTCATTCAGTAGGAAAAACTGACATATGGACACGTTTGTTAAAGCTGGTAAGTATTTAAATCACTATAAAAACACACAATCTGTGTTACATTAAGAGCCTGTAAAACGTCTCACATCAAGACGTTCATTGCTACGTAATTTGAGGACGACTTATTGGACATTAAATGATATAAAAACTACAAAAATAGAAAGCTGCAGTCACCTTTATGTCGCCAACCTCTTTCACCGTCTGGAAAGCTAGAGGTGGAAAACAAGCACAATTATTCGGTCGGTCTGCTTTTAGCTTCTTCTGAATGAGTCTTTTTCAGTAGAAAGTTGTTGTTGTTACCAGGGATGTCGAACCACGGAGACATGGTGGGAAACATGTACGGCGCCGTCGACATCGTGACCCAAAATGGAGGATCGGCACAATCTTTGATGACACCGTTGGCAATAGGGACCCTCGCAGTAGCGACGGCGTCGCTGGCGTCCGGCAGAGCCTGAGCAGGAAGCTTGGGGGCTGAACATGAACACACAGGTCATTACAGACAGCTGTCAATATAACGGGCTAAATCTTAAATGCACACCTGATATATGAAAGTAAAAGGGATGCAGCGCTTTGCTAGTAACTGTCAACAGTACAACAACTAGACAACAAGGTCAGGGGGGAAAAAATTTATTTAGGGAGAAAAAATTAGCACTTTTTGAAGGGAGTAGGTCAGCTATGCTAGCTTGACTTTGACCACATAACATGTAGATGTGCTGTGGAATGCTATCTGCTTCAGTTCAGCTACAAAAGTAAAAAAAAAATGGCGACATATACACCAATTCTGGCAGATCATCGGTAGAGCAGGTGCTTATTAGCTCATCAACCACCACAAGAAGAGCTGATAGCAGCGGTAGCTAGTCTACCACAGCGATCGCTTATTGATAATCGCAAAATAAACATCAACCCAGGAAACATTAAACTGTAATGGACCGAGTGTTCTGTTCTTGGTGTGTGAAATATTTGAGCGCGTTTTGGTGTTGAATCCTGAAACGTGTGGTGGCGTTGTTGTCAGTTGCTATGGCAACGTGTCTCTGTGTACCGTAGCCGACAAAGAGAACGAGAAAGAAGTTATTTTGAGTTATTCTTCAAAGGTTTATGTGCATTATTTTTCCCTTTACTGCGCAGAATTCGTAATGCCTGCATCGCCATGTTTCACTTTGCTAAAGGAATCGCTCCATCGCTGCAG